CGGCGCGAGGCCCGCCCCCGCAGCGTGATTGGGCGGAGCGCGGCGGGCGGCGCGCGCCCATTGGGCAAAACGGGCTGCGTGGGCGCGGCCTGGCGGCGCCCCGCCCTTCCCGGCAGTGGCGCTGCCGGTTTGGGCGCGTTGCCGGTTCGGGCGCCGCGGTCGGTTCCGCTCGCGCTGCCGGTTCGCGTCCCGGGCCCGGCGGCGGCAGCGGCGGCCGCGCCGGCCATGGCGCTGCTGCTGGAGCACGAGTTCAAGCCGCTGCCCGCCGACAAGCAGATCGAGACGCTGCCCTTCCTGGAGGCCGTGGCGCACCTGCCGCCCTTCTTCGGTGAGCCGCCCCGGCGCTCCCGTCCGGCGCCGTGCCGGGCCGCCAGCTCCTCGCTGCGCCCCTGTCCCACCACGGGCACGCCAGGGTTCTGGGTCTCCCCCATCCTAGTGCTGGGTGTCCCCAGGTCCTGTGTCCTGTGCTGGGGGCCCCACAGTCCGGGACCCCCCTGTCCCGTCTTGGTGCTGAGCCCAAGGTCCTGGGTGTCCTGCTGTGCTGGGACCCAAACTCCTGGGACCCCCCCATCCTGTCCCAGGGACCCCAAGGTCCTTGGTTTCTCATCCCATCCTATCCTGGGGGCCCCAAGTTCCTGGGGTCCCCCCCTCCATCCCAGCGGTGTGACCCCCCAAACTCCTGGATTCCCCCCATCCCATTGGGGTGCTGAGCCCCAAGGTCCTGGTTTTGCCCCCATCTTGGCACTGTGGGTCCCAAAGTCCTGCCCCTGCTGCCTCTTCCAGCCCCAAGGTCCTGGGGGTCCCCCCATCCCATCCCATCCCATCCCATCCCATCCCATCCCATCCCTTCCCATCCCATCCCATCCCATCCCATCCCATCCCATCCCATCCCATCCCGGTGCTGGGTGATCCGGGTGTCTCCCGCCCTGGTGCCGGGCCCTGTGGGAGCAGCCGGGTTGCGTCAGGGCCCGTCCGACCCGCTGAGCTGCCACGTTGGGAAACACCGGGGAGCAGCACTGGGAATCACTGGGAGGCGTGCTGGGAATTGCCGGGATGCCGCGGGGCTCGGGAAGCACCAGCCTCTCCCACCTGCATGCCCAGAGCTCCACGACGCTCCTGAGCGGGGTCTGACGGGCTGAGATCGGTGCCCATGGGTCCCTTCCTGGCCTTGACGCTCCGCGGAGCTGAGTCCTTCCAAGCTCGTTGCAGCACCTGCAGCAGCCCCTGGGAAATGTGACCGCGTTCCCTCTTTGCCGGGGGCTGCACCCTGCGCCCTCGCGCCGCGGCGGCCGGTGCCGTCCCGCCCCGGGAGCTGCCGCCCTCCACAATGTCCTCTATTATCCCGCAGAGAGGCCGGAGCGGCCGGGGGCTGGCGGCGCCGGGGCAGGAGCCGTGTGGGGATAACGCAGCGAGGATCCCTGCCGGCCCTGTGCTGGCATCCAGGGATGTGCTGCAGGGAGCTGCTCCCCTAGAACCGCCCCTGTTGCGGCAGCGCTCCCGGGACCAGCTTTTCCTTGGGAAAAAGCGTCCCTTGCCGCGTGTTTACCTGGGCGGTCGCAGCGTTGCCGCCCTCGGGGTGATGCTCCCGCAGCCCGACAGCGCTGCGGTGCCCGGGCTCTGCCTCTCCGCGGGGCTGCCTGTACGGCTGCAGGATCCGCTCTCAGCCCATCTCCCCACCCTGCTCCGGCGGCTTCTGGCAGCCGCTTCCCAGAGCCCCCGCTCCCGGGTGTCCCTGCCAGGCTGAGCCGGGGCCTCCCGGTGCCTTCCCTGCGCGAGGTGCAGCTTGGTGGCTCCGCGGCGTCCCCCGGGGCCGCAGTGACCAGCTTCCCCCGCTCTGTCCCCACAGACTGCCTTGGGACGCCCATCGTGTACTCGCCCGTCAAAGCAGACCTAGCCGGGAACATCAAGGTACGAAAGGGCCTCGGGGCTCCCATCCCTCTAGCGCACGTTCTCCCACATCAGGAGCGCCCGGGAGGATCCGCTCCTCCGAGTCCGAGGTGTTTGGGGATGCAGAGACAACATCCAGGTTGCTGGAAAGGGCTCCTGCATGGCAGGGCTCTGCAGGGGCTGCCCCGCAGGTTTATTAGTGAGTTCGTGAGTGAGGCCACTGCTTGGCGGCCGTGCTGCTCGCTGCAAGTGTCACAGGTCACACATGCAACCATGGAGAGCTGGTCCCAGCGCTCCCTGGATGCCGCGCGCTTCCCACTCCTCCTGCCCTGGAGCCTCCGAGCCTGAGGGCTCCTTGCTGCGGTCGTTTCAGAAAATCCGAGCCGTTTATGAAACCAACCCCGGCAAGTTCAAAACGCTGCAGAACATCCTGGAGGTGGAGAAGGAGATGCACGGCTCGGCGTGGCCCAAGACGGGGGCGACGCTGGCGCTGATGTGGTTGAAAAGGTGAGTCACGGCGCGCGAGGCTGTGCCAGGCTCCGGGGTGTGTCCCGGCGCTCGTGGAGCGGCTCCAGGGCCAACGGCAGTATGCGCTGCTGCCTTGGCCTAGCCATGAGAAGCTGGCGCGTGCCCTGGGGACTGTTGGCCTCTGCAGGGTGTTTGTTGGCCTTGGGCCGCCGGGTCCCTCCGGGCCGGGGTTGAGCGGGGCAGCGAGGGCAGACGCATCCCGGGGCTGCAGCCCGGCGCCCGCGGGGCTCCCAGCGCGGGACAGACCTCAGCTCTGCTCATACTGGGGGCAGCGACGGGCTCGGGGCTTTGGCCTTGGCTGAGGTTCCCCCTCTGCCTCTTCAGAGCAACGCGGATCCACATTCCGTGAATCCCGGCGCTTTGCGCCGCTCCGTAAACCCGCTCCGAGCGGGACGTTGCCGGGGCCGTGGGTCTCCACACGCGGCCTGGGCCAGCGGGGCTCGTGGCAGCGGCTTGGGTGGTGCCGTGGCGAAGGAGGCACTGCAAGCGCGGGGCCTGTCCTTGCCCGCGGGCGCCCACCTCACAGCTCTGCTTTCCTCGCAGGGGCCTCAAGTTCATGCTCGTTTTGCTGCAGAGCATCTCCGACGGCGAGAGGGATGAGGAGCACCCAAACCTCATCAGAGTGAACGCCCTGAAAGCCTACGAGATCGCGCTGAAGAAGTACCACGGCTGGATGCTGCAAAAGCTCTTCACGGTGAGCGCTGGCGTCCCCGCGTGCAGGGCCCGGCCAAAGCGGCGCCGCTCGGGCGCAGCTGCACAGAGCTCCTTCCTTACCGCCCCTACCCTGTGTTGCAGGGCTCCGTCTACGCGCTCCCATACAAATCAGATTTGCTTAAGGCTCTAGAGAAGGGCAAGGAAGTGAAGGAGGAGGAGACCATAGAGAAGATCCGTCAGTTTCTGTCGCGAGTCAGCCCCATCCTGGACGCGATCTATGAAATGTACACGAGAATGAACGCGGAGCTGAGCTACAAAGCCTAGCGCTGGCCCGGGACCCGCGCGGCCGACAGCATGGTGCAACGATAACTACCTGTGTCTTAATCACTGTGACAACTCGGGCTGCTGCCGGTTGTCAGATGCCCGATTCTGGTCTGGATCTGCAGTGGATACCCTACTTTTTTAAAAAAGTAATAATTTTTTCTATGGATAATACAGCAATAAATTAATGGTATCCTGAGTTGTCTTGGAAGAAAGCAATCAGTGTTTCCAGTCCCTAGCAGAGGGTTTAATTCCAGTACAGTGAAAGGGTGGCTGGAGCAGTCGATGCCTTGTTGCCCGCGCCGTGCCCGTGTTCCCGGCACGCCGGGCGCACAGCGGTTCCCTGCCTCGGGTGCTGGGGCCGGGACGGCGGCGCTGGGACCCTCGCGGGACCTGTGCGGTACAAGGGGGTAGGGGGACATGGGCTGCTCTGCACCGAGCCGGGCACCGCGGGGACTCACTGAGATGTGGGGGACACCGGGACAGGACGGAGCCCCGGAGCTGGCGCAGGGCTCAGTCCCAGGATGCAGCCCCGGGGCTCAGGTCAGGGCTGGGGGGCTGTGCGCCCCATTATCCCCAGCATCCATGCAGCTGCATCCCGTGGGATCAGCACGGGGCATCGGCCTCTCTCCAAGGCAGCCTTTGCATCCCAGGGCTTTCTCCAGGAGAGGGCCCGCTCGCGCGGCCACTGCCAGCTGCCGGGCAGGGTGTGGGAAGGGGAAAGGGCGGCGAACAGAGCGGCGCTTGTTCGGCTGCGGCGCGGCCGCTCCGGCCCAGGTGAACGCGGCTGTTTGCTTTGGAAGGAGGCTGGAGCGCCGGCGCGGCCCTGTTTCCGCGGGGCCGGCGGGAACGCGATGCGGCGGGGCTGATTCACTCCTACCTGGAGCCCGCCTTCCCGCGGGATCTGCCGCACGGGGACGGGGAGCCTGCGGATGCTGAGGAAGCGCCGCGCTCCTTGACTCATTCACTCCAGAAAGGGAGGAAACCTAAAAAATCAGAACCCAAATAAGCCACAAGCCCAATATAAGCAACTGGGTACCACCTTTCCGGGTGGTGCCTGGGGACGGTCTGGGTTTATGGGATGGGCCAGCAAGCCCGTCACTTCCAAAGCAAATTTCCTTCTGCGGGGCCGAGTCCCTGTGTTTTCCACTCCTGTCCTGCGCTTTGTGGCTCCATCGGCTGCAGCTCTCCCGAGGGACGGGGTAAGACCCAGCGGGGCCGGTGCCGAGGGGGCTCCGGCGGTGCGGGGGTGCAAAAGCCGCCCCGGTGCCTTGTGTGCTCGAGGGGAGCCCGCGGGAAGCAGCAGGGTGGTGGGGAGAGCGGCACGAAGAGGGACCGTGGGACGGCAGCACGTGGCGGGATGGGGACGGACGGCGGGATGAGCAGGACAGCAGCGTGGCGGGGATGATGCTCCGTGTGCCGCCCGCGCTATTCCGGGCTCGCCGCTCGCCGCCGTCCCGCCCGGCCGTGCCTGTGGTTTGGGCTGGGATTTGCAAGGCGCGCGGAGAAGCTGATGCTTCATCCCCGGGCAGAGCCTGGCACGGGGGGGAGACGCTTGCAGCCCCCGCATTGCCCATGCGCCCGGAGCCCCATTGCCGGGCGCACAGGCAATCTCTCACGGAGGTGAGAGTGGCCGGAGGAGGCCCCGTGTCACCTCCATGGGATTTGCCCCCCGGGTGCCGCTGCTCCCCCCGTGGAGCCGGCAGCTCTAATGACACGTTGCCGGAGCCGCAGCGGGACGGGAAATGACACGTTCCCAGGGTGCTTTTTCTGTCCCGTTCCCCCCCGCCTTTCCCGGGATTGTGTGTTGCTCTTAGCACGGCATTCCTGCCCTCCGCTGTGCCTCTCTGCAGGCAGAGCGGTGAATTCCTGGGCTTGCTCACGCGCGTGTCCAGCAGCCTCCTCCCGCCGCGGTGCTCCCAGGCGGCCGCCGCTCAGCAGCGTCCCGCGCACGTCCCGCGCGGAGCCCCCGGCATGGAGGCGGAGGCGCGTGAGGCCGCCGAGGCCGAGGACGGCTCCGCGCAGCCCGAGCCCTTCCCGCTCTCCTCGCTCGCCGACCTGTTCGAGGGCGAGGAGGCGGCGGGGGCCGAGGCGCGCGGCCCCCCCGGGGACGCCAAGCAGAACCTGCGCATGAAGTTCCAGGGAGCCTTTCGGAAGGGCGGCCCCAAGGGTCCGGAGCCGCCCGAGGGCTCTGGGTACGAGGCGGCCGTGGTGCCCGCGCCCAAGAAGGCTCCCATGGACTCGCTCTTCGACTACGGTACCTACCGGCAGCACCCGTCCGAGAACCGGCGCTGGCGCAGGAGGGTGGCCGAGTGAGTACCCCAGACACGGGGATGCGGGGATGCACGGATACAGGGATGCACGGATACAGGGATGCTGGGATGTAGAGATGCAGGGACACAAAGATGCAGCAATGAGGGGACACGGGGACACAGGTCTATGGGGATGTGGGGTCATGGGGACATGGGCATGCAGGGACACAGGGATGAGAGAATCCCAGGGAGAGGATGAGGGATACAGGGGCATGGGGACATGGGGATGTGGGGCTGCAAGGATGAGGGGACACTGGGCTGGGGGGATGTGGGTACATGGGGATAAGAGGATACAGGGATGAGGTTAAATGGGAACACAAGGAGATGGGGAAGTGGGGACATGCGGGGACAGAGGAATGAGGGGATGTGGGTGCACAGGAATGCAGGGATAAGGGGACACGGGAATGAGGGTCCGTGGGGACGAGGGGACGCGGGATGCGGCGCCGGTCCCGCCGGCGTCAGGGTGGCCCCGCAGGGTGCCGGGGAAGCGGCGGCTCCGGCCGCTCCGTGTGAAAGAGGCGTCTGTGCGGCGCGCTCCACCTGGCCGCGCTGGCAGCCGCTCTGCTCCGCGCCGCCGCCTCAATGGCCCTTTCAGGAGCCTCCACCCTCGGGCGCGCCAGGAGCCCGCCGGGGGGGCGCACAATGGCAGCCTGTGCCGCGGTCCCGCGGGACGTGGCCGCGCCGCAGCCTGGGGATGCCAGCGCCGCCGGGCCGCCCCGCTCTGCTGGGGGATAAATTACAGGGGGGCTGCATGGACCCCCAAAATGCGGGTCCCTCCGAGTGCGGCTGAGCCTGCGGGATGAGCCTGCAGAGCCGGGTGCATCCACGGGGCATCCTGCAGCATCCCGGGTGCTGGGTCACATCCCGCACAGCCGTTTGCGTCCCACGCGCTCTGGCTGCATCCCGCAGTGGCAGGGAGCACCGTGCGGAGCAGGGCTGCATCCCGCAGCGCTCGCCCCAGGATGGCTCCGGGACGGCAGAGCCTCCTTGCAGCCCGGGCTCCAGCTCCCGAGCTCTGGGCAGCCACCCAGCCCCTTCCAACCAGTCAGGCAGGAAAATCCTGCTCGGAAGGGGCCGGGAGCGGGAGCGGGCTGAGCCGCATGGCTGCACCTGTGTCCTGGGGGCACCTGCGCCCTTTCCCGGGCATCCATCCCTCGTTGCACGCGGGGGAAGCGGGGTGTGGAGGGGACACGGGTCGCCCCGCGCCAAGCCGGGCCGTGCGGCCGCTCGCCCCGCAGGAAGCCCTCGCCCAAGGCGCTGGCCCCCAGCCCGCCGCCCGTGCTCAAGGTCTTCAACAGACCCATCCTCTTCGACATCGTGTCCCGCGGCTGCCCGGCCGGCCTCGACGGGCTCCTCGCCTTCCTGCTGGCGCACAAGAAGCGCCTGACGGACGAGGAGTTCCGAGGTGAGCGCGGGCGCCGGGGCCGGGGCCGGGAGCCGGGAGCCCCGCTGAGCCCGCCGTGCCCGCGCAGAGCCCTCCACCGGCAAGACCTGCCTGCCCAAGGCGCTGCTCAACCTCAGCGACGGCCGCAACGACACCATCCCCGTGCTGCTGGACGTGGCCGAGCGCACGGGCAACACGCGCGAGTTCATCAACTCGCCCTTCCGCGACGTCTACTACCGAGGTGGGCCCCGGGGGGCGGCGGGGGGCACGCGAGCGCGGCCGGCGCGGTGCCCACGGGCGTCCCCGGTGCCGGCGCAGGCCAGACCGCGCTGCACATCGCCATCGAGCGCCGCTGCAAGCACTACGTGGAGCTGCTGGTGGAGAAGGGGGCCGACGTGCACGCGCAGGCGCGCGGCCGCTTCTTCCAGCCCAAGGACGAGGGCGGCTACTTCTACTTCGGTGAGACGGCGCCGGGGAGCGCACGGCCCTGCGGGTGCGCGGGGCGCTGAGCCCCGGCGCAGCTCGGCGCAGCGGCGGGGGCTCACGGGGCCGCCCCGCAGGCGAGCTGCCGCTCTCGCTGGCCGCCTGCACCAACCAGCCGCACATCGTGCACTACCTGGCGGAGAACGGGCACAAGCAGGCGGACCTGCGGCGCCAGGACTCCCGCGGCAACACGGTGCTGCACGCGCTCGTCGCCATCGCCGACAACACGCGCGACAACACCAAGTTCGTCACCAAGATGTACGACCTGCTGCTCGTCAAGTGCGCCAAGCTCTTCCCCGACACCAACCTCGAGGCCGTGCTCAACAACGACGGCCTCTCCCCGCTCATGATGGCAGCCAAGACCGGCAAGATTGGGGTACCGAAACGCAGCCCGGCCCTGGCGCGCTCGGAGCACGGGCCGCAAGACGCTCTTGTGCCCGCCCGCGCGGTGGTGAAGGCCACAAAAACCAGGGTGCTGCGGCCTCCTGCAGATCTTCCAGCACATCATCCGGCGGGAGATCACGGATGGGGACGCCCGGCACCTCTCGCGCAAGTTCAAGGACTGGGCGTACGGCCCCGTCTACTCCTCGCTCTATGACCTCTCCTCGCTGGACACGTGCGGCGAGGACGTGTCCGTGCTGGAGATCCTGGTCTACAACAGCAAGATCGAGGTGCGCAGTGGGTGTGCGGGAGTCCACGGGGTGCCCGGTCCCCACTGATGCCATCACCATCCCTGCAGAACCGCCACGAGATGCTGGCCGTGGAGCCCATCAACGAGCTGCTGCGCGACAAGTGGCGCAAGTTCGGTGCCGTCTCCTTCTACATCAGCGTGGTCTCCTACCTCTGCGCCATGGTCATCTTCACCCTCATTGCCTACTACCGGCCCATGGAAGGCACCGTGAGTCCTGCACCCACCCCGCCGGGGGCCTTTTTGGGGCTTTCTGCCCCAAAGAGGAGCTGCTCACCCGACACGCACTGTCCCCGCAGCCCCCGTATCCGTACACCACCACCGTGGACTACCTGCGCCTGGCCGGGGAGATCATCACCCTCTTCACCGGTGTCCTCTTCTTCTTCACCAACGTGAGTGCTGTGGGAGGGATAGGGATGGGATGCCTCAAGGCCCAATGATGGGCTCTGGACGCGCAAGACCTGCCTCTTGTCCCATCCTGGCCCCTCTCTGAACTCTTGTCTCCTCCAGGTCAAGGATCTGTTCATGAAAAAGTGCCCTGGCATCAACTCCTTCTTCATAGATGGCTCCTTCCAGCTGCTCTAGTGCGTGGAGGAGCCCAGGCTCCCATGGGAGCCGCGTGGTCCTGGGGCTGGCGAGGGGCCGGTGCCGGGGCTCAGGCCGCGCTCTCCTCCAGCTTCATCTACTCGGTGCTGGTCATCGTCACGGCGGGGCTCTACCTGGGCGGCGTGGAGGCCTACCTGGCTGTCATGGTCTTCGCGCTGGTCCTGGGCTGGATGAACGCGCTCTACTTCACCCGCGGGCTCAAGCTCACCGGCACCTACAGCATCATGATCCAGAAGGTGAGGTGGTGAGGAGGGAACTTGTCCTCGCCGGGCAGGGCTTGTTCCTCACTTCCCGTGGTGTGTTGGCCGCTCCGAGTTGACCTTGGCACAACCAGCGTGGCTGGCAGCGCCTCCAGGAGCTGCTCCCAGCTGCAGAGCTCACCCCATCCCCACCTCCGTCGCTTCCAGATCCTCTTCAAGGACCTGTTCCGCTTCCTCCTGGTCTACTTGCTCTTCATGATCGGCTATGCGTCAGGTAGGTGCGAGGCCGGGTGCGCGAGGCGGGCGCCGCGGGCACCGGGGGTCTCTCCAGGAGCGCGTCTGCTGCGGCCCCCCCGGACTCGCTGTCCCTCTGCCTCCTCCCCGCCCAGCCCTGGTCTCTCTCCTGAACCCGTGTCCCAGCACCGAGTCCTGCGGCGAGGAGCCGGACAACTGCACGCTGCCCACCTACCCGTCGTGCCGCGACAGCCAGACCTTCAGCACCTTCCTGCTCGACCTCTTCAAGCTCACCATCGGCATGGGCGACCTGGAGATGCTGGAGAGCGCCAAGTACCCCGGCGTCTTCATCATCCTGCTCGTCACCTACATCATCCTCACCTTCGTGCTCCTGCTCAACATGCTCATCGCCCTCATGGGAGAGACTGTTGGGCAAGTGTCCAAGGAGAGCAAGCACATCTGGAAGCTGCAGGTGGGAGCTGCTGGGCTGCCGTGGCCGTGGGGCTGGCGAGGCCGTGGGGCTGGCAGGGCCGTGGGGCTGGTGAGCCCATGGTGCTGAGGGCTCCCTGCTCTCTCCAATAGTGGGCCACCACCATCCTGGACATCGAGCGCTCCTTCCCGGTGTTCCTGCGGAAAGCTTTCCGCTCCGGGGAGATGGTCACTGTGGGGAAGGGCACGGACGGCACCCCTGACCGCCGCTGGTGCTTCAGGTAAAGGGCACCCTGGGGAGCTCTGTGGCCACTGGGCACCCGGACAGGGATCCTGGCGCCGCTCCGGGCCCTGGGAATGTGGTGGATGGTCCCAGCCACCCACTGCGCTCCTGATCTGGAGGCAGGCGGCACCGTCGGCATCACTCCTTCATGAGGTTCGGGACCACCTGCGGTGGGACTGGGGGGTGGTGTGGGGCACGAGGAACGGCGGGTGCAGGGGTGGGATGCGGGGATGCAGACACCGGGACGTGGAGATGCAGTGTGGGAAGACAGAGATGCAGGACGCAGGTGTGGGGATGTAGGAATGCAGGTGTGGGATGCAGGGATGCGGGCATGGGACACAGGGACGTGGGCACCCTGTAGCCCCAGTTTGGGTACCCCTGTCATGGCTGGGTGACCCGAGCAGGGCTCTCCGCGCCGCCTCCTCCGTCCGGTCTGTGCCCGCAGGGTGGACGAGGTGAACTGGTCCCACTGGAACCAGAACCTGGGCATCATCAGCGAGGATCCGGGCAAGAGCGACACGTACCAGTACTATGGCTTCTCACACACCGTGGGCCGCCTGCGCCGAGGTGAGCGCCGCCGCGCCGCGCGGTGCCGGGACCAGTGCCAGTACCGGGACCAGCGCCAGTACTGGGACCAGCGCGCTGACCGCTGCCGCCCCGCAGATCGCTGGTCCACGGTGGTGCCGCGTGTGGTGGAGCTCAACAAGAGCGCGCCGCCCGCCGACGTGGTGCTGCCGCTGGGCGCCGCGGAGCCGCGCGACCGCCGGCACGGCGCCGTGGCCGCCTCCGGGCCGCTCTAGCGACACGGCGCGCGCCCCGCGGCTCCCGCCCGCTCCCGGGCCTGCCGCCCGCCCGCTTCCTCAGGGATTTGCCCGGCCTCCTCCACGGCTCCTGCGGGTGCAGCCGGGCTGTGCCGGGGCCATGCCCTGCCGTGCCAGGACTCGGCACCGCGGCTGTGGGCGGGCGGACGCTCAGATGCTGTGTGCACGAGGGTCGATGCTGTTCACCACATGTTTTTGCACAACATTTGTACGACTATTTATTTAGCAATAAAAGCAGAGCTGCAGCCCCCGTGTCCCTGTGTCCCTGACTGATCTGGCCTGCAGGGCTGCAGCAGGCGGGTCCCTGCTCGGGGATGGGTGCTGAGCTGGGCTGTGCTGTGCTGAACCAGGCCAGGCACCCACCAGAGCAGGCTGTTAGTGGCCAGGACGGTGCTGGGCTGGGACATGCTGGTTTGCTGAGCTGCACAGGGCTGTGCACAGTGCAGGGTTGTGCATGGTTGAATGTGGTGCAGGACTATAAAGGGCTGTGCACAGTGCAGGGCTGTGCATGGTGCAGGGCTGCACAGGGCTGTGCATGGTGCAGGACTGTGCATGGCTGTGTGTGGTGCAGGGCAGTGCAGAGCTGTGCACAGTGCAGAGCTGTGCAGGGCTGTGCGTGGCTGGCTGTTGTGGTGCAGGGCAGTGCAGGGCTGTGCACAGTGCAGGGCTGTGCATGGTGCACGGCTGCACATGGTGCAAAGCTGTGCCTGGTGAAGGGCTGTGCAGAACTGTGCAGGGTGGTGCAGGGCTGTGTGAAGCTGTGCAGAGCTGTGCAGGGCTGTGCAGGGCTGTGCTCGGTGCAGGGCTGTGCAGGGCTGTGCAGGGCTGTGCAGGGCTGTGCCTGGTGCAGGGCTGTGCAGAGCTGTGCAGAGCTGTGCAGGGCTGTGCTCGGTGCAGAGCTGTGCAGGGCTGTGCAGGGCAGTGCAGAACTGTGCAGGGCTGTGCAGGGCTGTGCAGGGCTGTGCAGGGCAGTGCAGAGCTGTGCAGAGCTGTGCAGGGCTGTGCCCGGTGCAGAGCTGTGCAGGGCAGTGCAGAGCTGTGCAGGGCTGTGCAGGGCTGTGCAGAGC